TCGCACACTCCATTGATGGACCACAAAGCCTTCCATCAGTTAGCACATGTGTTGCATGTGCAAGCCAACTTTAGTTTTAAAATTATATTTTATATTTATTAAAATACAAAATCCCCCACATCAATTTGATAAGAAATAAAAAATCAAGAGGAAAATTAAAAAAAAAAACCTTCAACATAAGTTAGACAAGTTTTGCTTTTAAGGATAATTTAATTATTTTATTGTGTGTTTAAAAGGTGATAATACTAAGTTGTCACTGATAAATATAACAATAACTAAAGTATCTTGTAAAAAATGTCATATTAGCCACAATAACTAGTTCATCAAGTTTTCTAAATGAATACCTTTATCATTACATTATTATAATAAATAGTGAATATTCTCATAACAAACAATGTTTTTCTTTATTGAGTTACCTTTAATTAAATCATTGACCAACACTATGCTGCGAGTCAGGTTAAATTTCTCTTGAATGTAATAAAAATATTCAAATGTTGTTAATGTTGTTTTTTCTAATGAAAAAAATTTAAATCATGCCAGAGTTAATCCAATGTAACCTAATTAAATTTGTAGATCCAAAAGCAATCCACACAACTTGTAAAAATATAGTTTGCCTACAAAAATCCAAGAAGAAATATTTTTTTTAATATTAAAATAACAACATATTAGATTGACTTGGATCAACCCTTATTAACATATCAAATCCGCAACCCGAGTTATGAGACTATGATAACCCCGCAGAAAATAAGTCAAAATAAATCATGGATCATAGTTCTTAATCAAACTAATATTGAAGGATGAAAATAAAAATAATAATTAAAAAAAACTTTAAAAAATAACTCAAGTTAAACAGTTAAACTTGTGACCTAAGTTAAATAGTCAAACCTGCAACTTAGACCACAAGACCAAGGTAACCTTGTAAAAAACAATTCGATTAAAAAGGAAATCAACTAAAAAACACATAGAAAACAACTCTAATCAATCCACTAAACCTATGATCCGAGTCATAAGACTAGGAAAATCCCGGAGAAAAAAATAAAAATAAAATGACCTATCAAATTCAGGATTTTGGTCATAAGACTGTGATAATTTCATAGAGAGCAAATCAAACAAATTATGAAACTTAATTTACAATCATCATTGTCAGACTCAATGTTAAATGATGAAATTTATAAAAGTTTTAATTAAAAAATAACATAAAAATAAGCCAAGTTAATCCGGGTTAACTCGTTAAGCACTATTTATAGGTCACGAAACCGAGATAACCTAATAAAAAAATAAAACAAATTATAAAACTTAATTCTCAACGAAACTCGGTATTAAATGATGAATTTAGGAGGGAAAAGTCAATTAAAAAAATAAAAAAACACCGAGTTACTTGGGTTAACCTAACAAACTTGCGACTCGGTTCAGTAGACGGAATCACCTGATAAAAAAAATTCGATGCTGAAGGATCCACAATCAGGTCAAAAGACCAAGATATCCTTATATAAATAAAATATTTATGATTTAACAATGATTAAAATTCCAAGACTAGTGGTCATAATCACGAGACCATTATATCTCTAAAAAAAATAAATTAAAATAAATTATGAAATTTAATTATTAATCAATTCAATATTGAATAACGAGATTGGAAAACAATCAATAAAAAATAAGACATAAAAAATAATCTTAGTCTACTCGAGTTAATTTTTTAAACACTTTTCTCGAGTTATAAGGTAAAAATAACATTATTGAAAACTAGCAAAATAAATCATCAAAATTTAATTCTCAATCAATTTAAAAATTAAATAATAAAATTAAAAAAAAATATTTAAAAAAATTATTTAAATTAATCTACTAGACTTACGATATAAGTCATGAAAATGCAATAATTCAATAAAAAACAAATTAACAACTTAAAAAACTAATAAAAAAAAAGAAAGAAGTTAATTACTATTAGAGAAGGGGTACACTAAAAAGCCCTCCGTGATAGTTCATAGTTAATAATTAATTAATTGTCATGCCTGTGGTCCACCGATTTGATATTTGATTTGTTACCTTCTAAGAAATAAAAATAATAAAAAAATCTAATGACTCCAACGGATTCCATATCTCCATTCAAACACAATTGGCAACTTGTTTAGCAAATGCAATGATCATAGACCCCCCCTTGATTGTCCTACATTATTATTATTATTATTATTATCATTATCAGCGGATTTAGGTTCAATTATAAAATTTTACTTTTTGAATCGAAATATCTTCTTCACCCCTCCCCTTTTTTTTCTTTTTCTTTTTTTGTCGACAATCCCCGCTGTCTCATATGGGCCTTCTACTTGTCAATGCTATAGTTGGTAAATTGTGGGCCCAACTGATATAATTTAGTAGGGCCCTAACTGAACTGTATTTCTAGGCCCAACTGCTCCCTCCACGTTCACCATGGACAAAAAACACAACAATGGTATCCTCCGAGGCCCTCTGCCATTCTTCCTCGGTGCAACCCTCAGCAAGCGCCTTCTCGTTTAGCTCGACTGTGAAATCCGGGGTCACCTTTTGGCTGATAGAATTATTTATCTCTTCTTTTTTTTTTAGAATAACGATCAGGTTATTTAATTATAGTGTCAGCAGTCCTGGATCGAGATCAATTTTTTTCCTGATTCTGAGATTTAGAAAAACAATTAATGTTCAACTTAAAATATTAAGAAATTTTTTTTTATCTCACTTGATTTCTTTATATTTAGAATTAAAACTAGACCATAGATAATTGCTTATTCCGGAAGTTTACTTATTTTTTTTTAAACATAAAAAATATCTAGGTTTCATTAATGTGTTTTTAACAGGAGAAAAAATTAAAATGGTATAAAAATTAATTTAATATGAGTTAGTTGACTGGATAGATTTAAAGACAATTTGAATAACCGATAAAAATATATTTTAACAAAAAAAAATTGTTTTTAAAATATTAAAATAACATATTAGATTGATTTGAATCAATTAAAATTAACTTATTAAATTTGTTATCTAAATCACAAGACTATAATAAGTTTATAGGAAGCAGATAAAAAAAATATTCAACTTCATTTTCAATCAATCTAATATTAATAAATAAAATTTAAAATAAAATTTAACTAAAAATATAAATTAAGTCTGCTTGTATTAACCTTGTAAACCATCATCATAAAATTAAGATAATCATATAAAAAAATTAAAATAATTTATAAAGCTAAATTTATAATCAATCTAATATTAAAAGATATAATTAAAAAAAATATTAAAGTCAACAAAACAAACCAATAACCCCACTTATAAAATTAAATGACTTAAATATCCTTTTATAACAAACAAACTAATTATTTATTTCAAGAGCATCAATGAAATTAAACTATGCAGGAAAAATAAAAATTTCTCTGTTGTTCCTGATAAATTTTAAAAAACCAAAATAATCTCGACCTTACCCCCAGTCATTGCCTGCAATCTTTTTTTTAGGGATAAAATGATAAATTTATTGTTTTCAGGGGCAACAAACTATGCCTAAGCGGCACTTGAATTCACCAACTCCTAATTTTTTTTTTTCTTTAGCAATAACACAGAAAACAAACTATCCGGTCAACAACTCAAAACTAGATTATAAAACTGATAGAGAATGATCCGAAGTAGGTAAAAAGAGTAAAGGTGTGTTGCAGCCAGGCACTGATTTTTGACAGGGAAGCCATGGAGCTGGTCTCCCTGCACCAAACTGCCAGGCCACAAGGCTATAAAAGGAAGGTGGAATAGAATCACTTTGGATTGGATTTCTCCACCATCTCTTTCCTCTTCCAGCCAGCATTCTCATTGGGAGCTCGTAAACGTGACAAAGACACAACCGTGTGTTCTAGAGTTTATGTGTTATTTATTATTCATCATCCTAATTAAAAATTAACCAAACCCAAACGCGGGAATAGAAAATGTAGGAATGTGATCTCTCATGCTGATTCGAATTCAAATTAAAACAATCATTGCCTTCATAAATAGTTTGACAAAACAAAGCTATCCATTTGTGTAAACAACAAGCATCGATTTCAATCCTAGCAGCCTTGTTTGTTATAATTCCTGCTCTCTATAGCTGTGAAGTGTAACAAATACGACTTTCAGGAGTGCGGTTGTTTCGGTTTTCAGTAATGTTTCAAAAGTGTATTTTATTTTAAAAGTACTATATTGATGTTTTATAATGTATTAACATTAAAAATAAAAAAATATTATTTCAATATAAAAAAGTATTAATTTTAAAAATAATTTAAAAAAAATAATAAAAATATTATTTTAATACATTACAATACAAAAAATACTTTAAAAAGTTACCATAACTATACTTTAAAACATGTTTTCGAGAATATTATTAGTTTCACCAACAATTTTACTCATTAATATATAAATGACAACAAATTATGTCTCAAATCTAAACATCAATGTTGAACTCAATGATTTAGATTAGGTGAAAGAAATAAAATTGCAAAGAGTTATGATGTTTCTATTTTTATTATATATGAAGTTATGGCTATTCAATTTAAATCTGAAGATATAGACTCAATAACCATGATAATTATATTCTCTGGAAAATATGGAATGTCTCAATCCAATTTATTTTTATGAGTATCCAAGAAAGGATTTTCCAATATAATATACTGTTCTAAAAAGATTTTATTTTTTTTCCATCAATACATCATCGTTCTCACTACCATTGAGATACATTTTTAGAAAAAAATATACATGTAAAAATAGTTTTATTTTAAAAACATTTCAAAAAAATAAACCATTCCTTCCAAAGTTACCTCCTTTTCTTTTATTTCCTCCATTATTTATATATGCCCCTACATTCTCATTTTTTCGCAACATCCATGCCACCCCCCTCTCTCCCCCTCCCCTCTCTCTAAAACCAACATTTTCTCTTTTACCTGGTCAGGTGCCAAGAGAGAGACACACACACAAAAAGTCCTCCCTTATTTATATATGCCCCTACATTCTCATTTTCCCCCCTCTCTCCCCCTCCCCTCTCTCTAAAACCAACATTTTCTCTTTTACCTGGTCAGGTGCCAAGAGAGAGACACACACACAAAAAGTGTATTCTATAGAGAGAGGAGAAAGGGAAAGATTGTGACTTTGATGATTGCCGAAAGTGGAGGGAGTGGCAGCGCAGCAGAGAAAAATGGGGAGGGCGACAATAGCAAAAGCATTTCTCGAACACAAATCTCTCTCCTTCTCTCTGGGCCCATCAGTATCAATCCCAAACCACACCGTCACTTATTCTCCTCCTCCTTCAACCAAAAACGTTGTAAAGCTTTCAACTTTCTCTCTCACACCTCCACTTCCACTTTTTCTCGGTCTTTATTGCCTGCCCATATGACACACAATTTTTATTTCCCACTCAAATTGTAATGGGTTGGTGGATGCTTGGCAAGAATTTTATACCCCCTCTCTTTTTAGTTGTCAAAAGATAGATACCCACTCAGGAGAGAGAGAAAAAAGTCCTGTTTTTTTACCATTACATGTATTAGAAATTTAGAAGAAAACTATTTTTCTGGGGTTCTTTTTGTTTTTCTTGATCTGGGTTTTCTTTATTTATTGGTGAATTGGACAGGATTGACTGGCTGCTTTGACGTTTCGATAGAATTCGAGGAGTTTTTATTTGGGTGTTGATGGAAAGATTGGCTTCGTGGTTTTGACGGTGGATTGGAGAGAATCAAGGCTCGATTTTGGTGCTTCAAGGATTGGAGATATATGACATTCAATGAGATAATAATGGAGCTTTTTGATCTGTTAATGCATAATTGGCTGTTGTCGAGCTAAGTTTTTTATGTACTTCAAGGAAAGCTTGCTAGGAGTTGATCAATTTTGTTGAGTGAAATTTTGAAGGTGAATTCTTGAGCTGTGATTCACTTTGTAAGCTTTTTATGTAACTGGTCCTTTCGTTCAAGGAATGATCAAAGTTTGAGACCTCAGGCGCTGGTTAGGGAATTGAGTGCCTTGCCATGCAAAGAAAGTCTGGACAAGTTCAAACTTGACTCTTCGAGGAAGCTCCTTTGAGTTGTTGAAATTTGAATTTTTAATGTCCTCTGACTGTCTGTACTGTACCTGACTGCATATCATTGTTCTTCTTGGCTTAATCGAACCTGAGGTAATTGTTCTATGTAGTCCATTTCTTTGTCTTGCCAAAATTTGTATACACATTATACCAGATGTGAACTTCGCTATATATTTTTAATATCACTTTTGATGATCATAAAGATTAAAATAAAGAAAGCTTAATACTCTAGACTAAAATTTTGCTTCTCTATGAGTGACAATCATGCCTTCTAAGATTACTGCTAGGATTCTATGCCAAAGGTACCTGATGAACGTGTTTTGAGGGTTAGCTGAATTTCTGTTTCGGAATGTTTGTAGCATGTATGGCCTTATGTTTGCCGATAAAATGTGTCTTTATCTTTATCTCGTTTTATCTGCTCCTTGGTTACTTGTTTATTTGTTAGCTATGTATTCTTGTCTGAAAATGAGAATGTAGTTCAACGCTGAAGAGGCTAGAACGGGAAGCTATTTCATAGTCTCCCCAATGTTTTATCGAAACTTTTGTTACTAGGTGTTTCAGGCTTACTGAAGTCATCTTTCCGGGCATGGTTTTCTAGGTTTTCACACGCTTCGAGGAATAGTGTTTTAAAACTTTCCACCTCTTTTCTACTGGTTCACCAGTCAAAAATGTTTTTTCGCCTTCACCTATTTTCTGATGATGTCATTATAGAAACCATCGCTGCTGCTTTCTATCACTAACCAGAGGATTTAGAGAGCAATCATCATCACACGTGCAGTATTATAGATGCATAATGTCATACCATGCTTACTACCTCTTCGATCCTTGATGCGGCTTTGCATTCATTTCTCTGCTGCTCATTGTCATGTGACTCGCGTCCCCATTTAATTTTTTGTCTGCAATGTCTCTGATTGGAAAATCTCTTTGTATCTCTTAGCTTATATGTGAGCTTTTGAATTGAAAACAACTCTGGTTAATACTCTTCAACTGGTGTTTCTTTTTCCTCATCCACTTCCTCAAATAAATCAGATATCATAGCACTGCCTGCGAGAAAATCTGGATCAACAAAGCATAATACAGTCAAAGAACTAGCCACTCATTATGGCAAAAAAATCACAGAGACGCCCTGTACGATATGAAAGAGACCAATCGGGCTGCATGTGGGGTTTAATGAGTATGTTTGACTTCCGCCATGGTCGATCAACGCAGAAGCTGATTTCAGATAGGAGGCGTGGGACCAGACATGCTGTTGGTAAGAAACTTTCTTTGAAATGCATATCAATCTGAATAGATAGCGCATATGTGGCTGCACATAGGCACACATGCACACATCCACGGAATCTTTTTTGTGTGGAAGGGATGGGTTAGTGCATGCAACATGCATGTGCTTTTCTTCCGTTGTTAATAAATCCCTTTGATGGAAGTGAATTTGAGAAGTGTCAAGGCATTGGTTGTGTTTATAAGGAATTTTTTGTCTTCTTGTTAAACGTTTTAAGCTGATTGTACTTTTGCCTTGCAATGGTCATTGGTTAAAGATAGATTTCTAGTATTCTTGTTTTAAGCTTATGAAACATATCAGTGAATCTCTTTTCTTCTGCAGTTACTGGAACTCCTAAGAAAAAGCTTGACAATCTTAGTGAAAACTGCCGAGGCATAATTGTAAGTGTTGTCAGCTTAAGCATCCAAACTCAATTTTCTTGATATTTGCAATGAACGCCTGTTGTAATGAGTAAGCTACCTGTAAATTACTTATTTTTCCTATTTTAAATATATCAGGATGGTGAAGAGAGCAGAAAAGCAACAAGTGATACCAATAAGCTGAGTGTGAAAAAGCTCATGGAGGAAGAGATGTTCAGTGAGCTAGACACAAAGAATGAAATAAACAATCCTGAGGTAGAACCAAAACAGTCAAATTCAGAAAATGGAGACCACAGAACAAAGAACCACAAGAGAAAAAAAAGTCGCACAAAAAGTTGTGATATACACTTGGAGGATCTTAGTGTTGCTGAAAGCTTGGAATCTGAACAGCATTGCCTTCATAATTTAGAGAAGCAATCTACGAAAAGTCTTGATATAGGTGAAATAATGGAGGATTTCTGCCATCAGATCCATCAGAAAAGCACAGATTATGTGGAGCATGACCAACATGATGAAGTTCAACATCAGCCAAACCAAAAGAATCCTGACTTCGAAGAGAAATTGAGTGAGGTAATAAAACTCATAAATGAGAAACTTATTGACAGGAAACATGTCACTGAAGATGGGGACCTCCACCGATCCGAAGAACTGAGGGATGCACTTCAGATTCTAACTTCTGATGAGGAATTGTTTCAAAAACTCTTACAAGGTCCAAAGTCCATAATGGTGAAGCATGTTCAAAACTTGTGCAGTGCTCAGGTTGAGAAAGATGGCGACTCCAAGTTACTTGCCGTATCTAACTTGTTAGAACAGGGGCTTCATGGCTTCAGACATTCTGGCGAGGCTATCCATGGTAAACAACGCAAATTTTTCAGAAAAAAGACCAAATCTCTGGAAAAGAACCCATCAAAGGAAAATAAGGCATCTCAAGCTTCAAATAGAATTGTAATATTAAAGCCTGGCCCGACAAGCTTGCTACTACCTGAAAATGAAAGCAGTATTGGATCATCACCAGAATCTCAATTCATCATCAGAAACAAAGGACCAATTGAGAGATCTGCTTCTCACTTTTCTCTGACTGAAATTAAAAGAAAGTTGAAAAATGCTATGGGAAAGGAAAAGCAGGAAACCTCTACTGATGGGGCTTCAAAGAGATTTTTTAACAAACATGCTGTGGGAAATAGTGAAAAAGGATTCAAGGAGAACCTTGGAAGGAATTCTCCAAGTAAAGACCACTTCTTTATTGAAAAAATTGCTAGACCTCCCATGGGTGGCAAAATGAGAGAGAAGACTAGCAAGTTGAAAGAATCTGAAATAAGTGTGGAAGATGAAGCCGTTATTTATCCCAAGCAAAGGCCATCTAACATCTACATCGCGGCCAAGAAACATCTCTCTGAGATGCTGAGCACTGACCAAGGGGATGTGGGTTTTTCAAGCGGGCCTGTGCCAAAAACCCTTGGCAGGATTCTCTCCCTTCCCGAGTACAATTTTTCGCCGCTTGGTAGTCCAGGAAGGGATTGGGAGCAAGGCTTTCTGACAGCACAGATGAGATTTTCTACCAGTGAAAAATTTCAGAAACATGAAACCAATGTCAGCCATTTAGGTCGAACAGCATTAAACTCAGAGCCTCTGTCATCTGTTTCCAATGACAGCATCTGGGATAAAAAACAAGCTTCTTCAAACCCAAATGCAAGTGCCTCAAATGAACTTCATGATAAAGAAGAGAAAAACTTTTGCTCTATCAGCGATGAGATGCCTTCTGAAGGTAGTTTTTTTTTTAATCATAGGATGTAGATAGATAAATCACCATGCTGATAATTTTTTCTAATATAGGCCTTCTCAAAATTTTATGCAGGTGAAGTGGAGGTTGTAAAAAAAACTGCAATTGAAGAAGAGAGCAATATCTTAGATACTTTCTCTGAACCAAGCAGCTCTCCGCTTGATAAACACAAAAATAGTGATATGTCTGACGTTTGTGATAAAAAAGAATATTCAGAATGCTTGGAACATGTAATTTTACTGGTTGCCTGTCCTTTTCAGTTCATCACACATCTTTAACATTTTATTCTAATAATTCTACTGTGCTTTTCAGGAATCATTTGAAGAAAACCAGCCTCTATCTTCTCCATTAACATCTCCATCCACCTCTTCAAACACCAAAAAACTTAGTTGTCTTGAGGTTACATCTGAGATACCAGAACGGCCCAGTCCTATATCTGTTCTTGAGCCACTTTTCCCAGAGGAGGACATCACCCCAGCAAGCATCAGACTTGAACCTGGTAGGTCTTCATAAAGAAAGTCTAGTGACTTTTAATATTTGTTTAGGAATTCACATCGCATGGTTCTCAAGCTAATTTTAGTTCATTCTCTTATCTATCAGTTGAACTGCCAGTGCAACCCTTGAGAATTCAATTTGAAGAACATGAACCTTCAGCTGCAGATCGAAACATCCCTCTGAAAGCTTCTGTGGATGGCAAGGAATCGGTATTTGAGTATGTAAAAGCAGTGCTTCAAGCCTCTGGCATGAAGTGGGATGAATTTTATATGAAATCACATTCTTCAGGACAGCTTCTTGACCCGTCATTATTTTTTGAGGTAGAATTCTTTTCCAACCAGCTTTGTTGTGACAAGAAGCTTCTCTTTGATTCTGCTAATGAAGCTCTTGTGGAGGTATATGAGCGGTATTTTGGCTTTGGTTGCTTCCCTGGGATATCATTTGTAAAATCTACCATCCGGCCTGTCCCAGACATGAAAAATGGCATTTATGAGGTTTGGGAAGGAGTCTCTTGGCATCTCCTCCCATTGCCAATGCCTCATACTTTGGATCAGCTTGTTAAGAAAGATATGGCAAAAACTGGAACATGGATGGACCTTCGATGTGATAGTGAAACTATCCTTGTTGAAATTGGTGAGGCCATTTTTGAAGATTTGATGGAAGAAGCCATTTTTGGTGATCTGATGGAATAAAATTTATCCATCCGTGTAAATGAAAATTCAGAGTGTGGAAATCATTTGATTCCAGCTGAGTTGAAGGAAAGTGTGAGCAAGTGTGGAGTCGTAATTACAGTTTCTTCTATTCGTTTATTGACTGATCTTGTGTCCAGGCGGGAATGCAAGCAACCTTTTGAATGACTTGACATGACACTTCTTTTACTTTGCCCATTGAAATCATGTGCACAACAGTACAGTTTGGAAGCTCTACTAAACACAGCATCAAATGAATGAAGGATCTACACTACTTCAAGGGTAAAAATCACGAGCCCAATGTGCAAGCGCTTCTTGCTGCGTTGTGAAGACTAGATTTCCATGGCAGTTTTTGCGACCATGACCACCAGATCAGTGCCTTACATTCGGCGAGAATAGTAGCGATCAACACTGTAGAATTTGTACATATCGTGCCTTGTGTGTTAATAAATTAGGCTGTGTGCATTTTTTCTTTTCTTGTTCTCATTTCATTCATTCTTCTGCAGAGTCTGTGTTACATGTATTTCCTTTTATATTTACAAAGCTGGGGTTGGATTGTGACTGTTTTAGCGGGTAGGGGATGTGATGACACTGAATTGTGTATGCAAATAACAAGCTGTGACTGTTGTGCTTTGAGTCGCGAATAATCAATATAGTTCACATACTTGATCCACAAGATAATTGTGTTTGAGTTCAGGATTATCTTATGCTTGGCGTCCAAGTATAATATTTTGAAGAGAGATGGCTTTTTCTTCTTTATTCATTAAAAGAAGCAACCATATCATTCTTTAGCATGTCACCATGATCCCCAAATCTTATGAAGCATATATTTTAATCATCCATTCGAGAATCCCATGTTTGATGATTCCTCCTCCGTTCTTCTCTGAGCCTTTATCTGTAACGTGACCGGCAGCTCACATTACTTGACTCTGCAGTCGACCTCATTGAGTAGGATCCCGGAGAGGACTTCTTCTGTTAAAGGGCCTCCAGATAAAGCAAAAGGAGAAGAGAGATTGTAAAATGTTTCTCGAGCTAGCCCTATATACCTTAATTAAGAATATTCCTAGATGGATTTGAGGGAAGTAACCCGTATTTAGATTCATGTGTTCCTGAGAAATTTCTTTCTCGTTACCTCCTCTAAATTTCACTCCTAATATTATATATACTTGAATCAAGCCTATAGTGGTGCTCACTCAAGAGCTAGATTTAGAATGTATTTGATATTATGATAGTTGTTATAGTTATAGTTTAAAAAAAGTTATTTTATAAAAAGTATTTTTAATTTAAGTTGATTTGAAAAAATAGATGTTTGGTTAAAACTATAGTTGAAATTAAAGTTGAAAAAAAATAGTTTAATGTGTTTGGTTAATAATACTTTTGAAATTGAGGTTATAAAATAATTTTAAAAAATATATATTAATATTGATAGTTTTTAATTTAAATATTATAGATTTAACTTTTGTTATTACATCATGAAATAAAAAATATTTTATATGAAATATTTTTTATTATTCTATTAAAATATCTACAATTCCATCATGTATGAAATATATCCAAAAAGAATTACAATTTTTTTTATTTTTTAAACGCGCAATAATATCAGGTAAAATACAATCAAGATCGAAATTGGGATTGCGATTAAATTCTATAAATACTACTTTATCAAGCGATCTCTGTCTAATTTATGTAATGTTATTAAATAATATTAAACACTAGTTTTTTAAATAAAAAATAATTAAAAAATTAAAAATAATTTTTATTTTACTGGGTTGAATATGTTTCAATATATTTTAAGTTTTGAACTGGAATCAGTCCGACCGCAACTATATACATATATACATGCTAATTAATTAATATGCACAGTGCATTGAAACAAAAGCAGCCTCTTGCTGCTATGCAATTATTGAGTTTGCAACACAGTAAAAGATGGGACCTATAAATAGTTAACGATGTTTTCTCCTATAACTAAATATATATTTACTGTGTTTTATTTCAATGTAGCCGCAGCCGCGTAGACAAACAAAATCTTAATTAACAAATACGCATCACCCTGTTGAGAAGGCTGGGCTACAAGCTCTATGAGGCCTAAAAAACATTCAAAAACCTCTAGGCAACTTCGGGGCCTAATCAAGACAGCCTATCGAGACTTCTCAACAACAATCTGCCATGGACCACTGGGCCCACCACCATAATCCAATTAGATGGGCTTGATCATTGACAAGGATATATGCATTGTTTATTTATTTTATCTATCAGCCACGCGCACCAAAATACAATAAATATTACATATAGTTTCATGATACAATTGAACTAAGATTGTTCTTTGTAATAAATTTTTTTGGGGTTACAACAATTCAGTTTCTTTAATTATGAAATTACTTACTATGACATTGTTGTTCGTGTTGAACAACTTGTTGGCATCCTGGGGTTTTTTACAGTATTTAGATCCACATAAACCCAATTAGCAAATAATTTTTCAGGACATTCAACCATGGGGTTTGAGTTTTATTGCATGGTACAAACACTTTCGGGTTCCTGTGTGCTTGTATCTTGGAGTATAGCAAGAGATTATGAAATCAACTGCATCTAAAATTAAAGAGAAAAAGAAAGAAGAGAATAATAGCAAACAACAGGAACAATACCAGAGCTACTTAACAAAATGAAAGGTTAATTAAATCTTGATGTGACAAGTAACATTTCCTTAATACAAGCATGCGTTTGGCCCACCTTGGCTCCGCGTCCTACCAGGTCATGATATGGATATCTTCACTTGATTGTGGCTTGTCCTCCACCGAGCTATTTTTTTTTTATTTAATATAAAAAAGATGTCAAGATGACACAATTGTTATTAAAAAAAAACTAGTCATTGACTAAACAATGTTTAATAAGTTTGAGTAATTTAAATAATATAAATAAAAAATTATATTAATAATCAAAAAATTAAAAAAATATACAACATGACAAAACAAAAAAACTCATTTGACACTAATAGAAAGATAATGATGAGATCTTTTCAATGTGACTGCAAGGTAAATTTTGGTTATGGTACAATATCGCCTGAAAGATACGGAAGGCTTGATGTCGTGTGTTTTACACGTATTAACAATTTTTTTAACAATATTTATATTATTTAAAAGATCAAATTGTCATTGTCAACTTATTAATTAAAAAGACAATATAAAAAGATAAAAGACAACCTAGATATAAGTTTCCATGGTCTTTACATGTAAGGGTAGTATAGTAGTTTTATTATAACTTTAAAACATTAAAAATTCAAACTGTTCTTGTATGATATTTTAAAATATTTTATATTTTTTTTTAGTAATACAGTTATTATTATGCATTCAAAGTGTCTTAGATGCACTGTAAATTTTTTATGGATTTTAATTTTTAAAAAAAATTATAATTATTTTTGTGGACTCCTTTATTTAAGAACACGTTGCAATATGTATTTCTTAGAAATTCAAATTTTTTTACTAAAAATTAATTTTTTTGTATATTTTTAATCTTTTTAATATGTTAATTTTAAAAATAATTTTTTTAAAAAAATATTATTTTAATATATTTTCATACAAGAAATACTTTCAAAACCAGCATTGCCCAAAAAAGCATCACTTTGCCCGGAAGGTGAAAGGGAGCTAGTAGGAGTGCTCAATTATCAACAGTACTTAGAACAGTCTGCCCATTTTGACAAAAAGAAAAAAGGTAAACACCCGCATAGAAAGTGCCATGCCCACAGGTTTATCCCCGCTCAATTGATGATCAAGCCACCCTTCACTTTCCTTTGTGCTCATTTAATTTCTGAAAAAGAGAGCCGTTCCCTTTCTCATGTTCAATCGATTTACACGTGATATTCTCTCTGATCATGTAATCTTGCCTAAAATCTTAGATTAAATAATCTTTTAGAGTAAGAACATATAGAATTGATTGATTGAAGTTGTTACATGCTCCTAGTTCCAAACCAGTTAGCCTGTATGGTAAGCAATTACAAAAGGAGATCTGTTTACCAGCAAACTTGGATGCAATGTATCAATATGTTGATTTTCTCACCAAAATTGGATTCTTCAACTTGACAACAGCCCAGCAGCTTATACATTGATCTTGATCCCTTTTTTTATATCCTCCAAGGGATTGTTGCATACAATGAAGTGCTTGCTTTAAGCAGCAGACTCATAATCATGCATGTGAACAAGATACGACGATGCCGCACTTGAGAGTCTAACTCTTTAGTCCACTGCAAGGCTTACTTTATAGCCGACCGAGTTCAACCCTCTCTATGCACCTGCCTGTCACCCCGCGGTGTCTTACATGTCTGCTGAGCTTGCAGGATGTTCAGCTGGGCTATGAGATTAGTCGTGGTGCGCGCAAGCTGGCCCAGACATCTACGTTAATAATAAAAAAAGATGTGACGATGCCTAAAACCGTCCAAAAGCACTAGTGCATGATCAAGAGGGGAGGGTGGGCAGTGGGAGACTTGAGCAGAGCTAATACGGTCTTGGTTTTACATTTTGAAAGTGTTTTTTTTATTTTAAATTATTTTTTATATTTTTAGATCATTTTAATTCATCGATATCAAAAATAATTTTTAAAAAATAATTATAATTACATTATTAAACACCCTCTTCACATGTTTTTGTATAGAATTGACTCTCAAATCAAGATATAATAATCATACCAATTATTACTTAAGTGTGTATGGATGCATTAAAAACCATTATCCAGGCTTATGCAAGTTTTTAACAAGATGAGATTCGCTTATTCATAAAACCAAGGAAGGTGAAATTCCATGCTTTGTCATTATGGGAACTGACCAAATTACCTCTCGTCATCACGTCCCCAACCATTACGCATGCAAAATCGTATACCGACTAAACCGTCGCAATATAACAACACATGCCAGCGATAATAAACACAATTTATTGATGCCATTCAATGCTTCAACTTGGCAACGACTATCCGTTTGTTCCTGCACATTGAAATTAAATTTATCCTTTGGTTCTCACACTCTGGTTGAGATTTAAATTTCTTAAAAGAAGAAACGTATGCCTTTAACCATCGAACCTAGATTGTTTATTTATGTTTACGTGGGATTTCGCTAATCATCCTCCACTTTTTAAGTGCGGTTACTTGCAAGTTGCAATCCAATTCATAATCCCAGATTGCCGCTATTTCTTTCTCCAAGCTTGTTAATTTGTTTTTGTGTTCAATTTTTTTTTTGGATTATTTTAACCAGTTGATGTTAAAATTGAATTTTAAATAATACAAAATATTAATTTAATGTATTTTAAAATACAAAATATCTTAAAAAATTATAATTATCATAACATCAAATATTATTTTTAGTGGGATTTAAGGATTTTTCGATAATAAAAATATTTTTTTATGGTTCATTAATGAAAATATATTATAAAAGGGTGAAGATTGCTAACCTCCAATTTAAGATATTCAATGACTATTTATAATTTTTATATTTTAATTTCTTTTTATCTGAGAAATTGTAAGTCTTTTTCTTTTTTATATATATACAAATGTGAAGGCAGGCAATTGTTCAGAATAAGTTGTTAAGATTGTTTAGGTAATATCTTGTCAAAATTACAAACACTTAAATTTAACAAGTTGTTAGGATTGTTTAGGTAGTATCTTGTTAAAATTACAAACACTTAAATTTAACACA